TTCAGGATAAAATTCCCTCAATTTTGGTGCCAAATCCCTCAAAATTGGGCTCAAATTCCCCCAATTTTGGACTAAAATCCTCTTGATTTTGGGACAAAATTCTCTCAATTTGGGCTCAAATTCTGTGCAATTTTGCACTAAAATCTCCCCAATTTTGGGCTAAAATTCCTCCTTTTTGGTGCCAAATCCCTGAATTTTGGGCTAAAATCCCCTCAATTTTGGGCTCAAATTATCACAATTTCTGGATAAAATTCCCTCAATTTTGGGATCAAAATCTCAGAATTTTGGGCTAAAATCCCAATTATTTTTAGATAAATTCCCCACAAATTTGGAATCAAATTCCCACAATTTTGGGCTAAAATTCCTCATTTTTGGTGCCAAACCACTGATTTTTGGGCTCAAATTTCCCCAATTTTGGACTCAAATCACCTTAATTTTGGGCTGCTAAAATCCCTCAATTTCAGGATAAATTTTCCACAATTTTTATGTTGATTCTGACCCAAAATTCCTCATTTTTGGTGCCAAACCAATATTTTTGGGCTCAAATTCCCTCTATTTTGGGCTGAAATTTCCCCAATTTTGGGCTGCTAAAATCCCTCAATTTTAGGATAAATTTTCCACAATTTTTATGTCGATTCTGACCCAAAATTCCTCATTTTTGGTGCCAAACCCCTGAATATTGGTCTCAAGCTCCGTCACTTTTGGGCTCAAATTCCTCATTTTTGGTGCCAAACCACTGATTTTTGGGCTCAAATTTCCCCAATTTTGGGCTCAAATTTCCCCAATTTTGGGCTCAAATTTCCCCAATTTTGGACTCAAATCACCTTAATTTTAGGCTAAAATCCCTCAATTTCAGGATAAATTTTCCACAATTTTTATGTCGATTCTGACCCAAAATTCCTCATTTTTGGTGCCAAACCAATATTTTTGGGCTCAAATTCCCTCTATTTTGGGCTGCTAAAATCCCTCAATTTTAGGATAAATTTTCCACAATTTTTATGTCAATTCTGACCCCAAATTCCTCATTTTTGGTGCTAAACCCCTGAATATTGGTCTCAAGTTCTGTCACTTTTGGGCTCAAATTCCTCATTTTTGGTGCCAAACCACTGAATTTTGGGCTCAATTTTCCCCAATTTTGGACTCAAATCACCTTAATTTTGGGCGAAAATCCCTCCATTTCAGGATAAATTTTCCACAATTTTTACGTCAATTCCGACCCAAAATTCCCCGATTTTGCCGCCAAAACCCTGAATTTTGAGCTAAAACCCCCCAATTTTTGACCTAAACCCCCTGAATTCCACTACCAACCTCCAATTTCCCCCAAATCTTTCCCCATTTTCCCCAAATTCCTCCTTTTTCACCCCAAATTCCTCCCCCAGCTGGCGACGCTGCGCGGCTCCATCCTGGAGGACGCCACCCCCAGCACGGCCAAGGCCGGATCCGGGCGCGGGATCCCGGCGCGGGATCTGCTGGAATTCCTCCTGCCCGAGCTCAACATCCACTGCCTGCGCCTGGCCCTGGCCTCGCCCAAGGTCCCCGAGCAGCTCCTCAAGCTGGACGAGCAGGGGGTGAGAATTCCGGGAATTCCTGGGAATTCTTGGGAATTTTTTGAGGGGATTTTCGGTGATTTTTTGGCGTTTTTCGGTGATTTTCTGGGATTTTTTGGGTGATTTTTTGGTGATTTTTTGCTGATTTTTTGGTGATTTTGGAGGATCTTATTGGATTTTTGGGAATTTCAGGGATTTTTTTAGGAATTTTGGGGAATTATCTGGAAATTTTTGGGATTTTTTTAGGAGTTTTTTGGGGTTTTGGGGGTATTGCGCTTTGGCACATACCAAGGCTTGAAAGATCTCAAGGCTTGGAGGATTCCTGGGATTTGGGGATTTTTGGGGAATTTTCGGTGATTTTTTGGGAATTTTTAAGGGTATTTGGGAATTTCTGGGAGTTTTTTGGGAATTTTCAGGGAATTTTCACAGAATTTTTAGGGGTTTTTTAGGGTTTTTTTGGGATTTTGGGCGTTTTGGGCTTTGCCGCATTCAAAGGCTGGAAGGATCTCAAGGCTTGGAGGATTCCTGGGATTTGGGGTTTTTTTTGGGAATTTTCAGAGATTTTTTGGGAATTTCTGGGAGTTTTTAAGGATTTTTTAGGAATTTTCTGGAATTTTGGGGGGTTTTTTGGGAATTTTTGGGAATCTTTTGGGATATTTTTGGGGAATTTTCTGGGATTTTTTGGGGATTTGGTGAATTCCAGGGGGTTAAAGATCCCAAGGGTTGAAGGATTCCTGGGGCTCGGGGATTTTTGGGATTTCATTTCTCCATCCCAAAACTGCTCCAACCACCCCAAACATTCCCAAATCCCCAAATTCCCAAATCCCCAAAACCCCAAATCCCCCAAACCCTAAAATCTCCAATCCAAAATCCAAATCCGAAATCCTCAAATACCAAATCCCATAAATCCCAATTCTTCAAATCCCAAATCCCCAAATACCAATTTCCCCAAACCCCAAATCCCCAAATCCCATAAATCCCAAATCCTGAAATCCCCAAAATCCCAAATTCCTCAATCCCTAAATCCCCTAAAACCTCAATCTCCAAATCCCAAATCCCACAAATCCCAAAACCCCAAACCCAAAACCCCAAATCCCATAAATTCCAAACCCCAAATCCCACAAATCCCAAATCCCACAAATCCCAAATCCCCAACCCCAAAATGCACAAATCACTAAACCCCAAATCCGCAAATCCCCAATCCCATAAATCCCAAATCCCCAATCCCAAACCACCAATTTCTCCAATCCCCAAATTCCATAAATCCCAAAATCTCAATCTCCAAACCCCAAATCCCAAAAGTCCCAAATCTCCAAACCCCACAAATCTCCAAACCCCATAAATCCCAAACCCCATAAATCCCAAACCCCAAACCCTAAATCCCATAAATCCCAAATCCCATAAATCCCATAAATCCCATAAATCCCAAACCCCAAATCCCATAAATCCCATAAATCCCATAAATCCCAAACCCCAAACCCCATAAATCCCAAAATCCCAAAATCCCGAATCCCCATTTGGCAGCTGTGCCGGCGGCGCAAGGTGGGGATCCTGTACTGCAAGGATAAATCCCAAACTCCAAATCTCAGAAATCCCATAAATCCCAAACCCCAAACCCCATAAATCCCATAAATCCCATAAATCCCATAAATCCCATAAATCCCAAACCCCAAATCCCAAATCCCATAAATCCCATAAATCCCATAAATCCCAAACGCCATAAATCCCAAACGCCATAAATCCCATAAACCCCAAACCTCATAAATCCCAAACCCCAAATCCCATAAATCCCATTAATCCCAAACCCCATAAATCCCAAACCCCAAATCCCATAAATCCCATAAATCCCAAATCCCAAATCCCATAAATCCCAAACCCCATAAATCCCAAATCCCAAATCCCATAAATCCCATTTGGCAGCTGTGCCGGCGGCGCAAGGTGGGCATCCTGTACTGCAAGGATAAATCCCAAACCCCAAATCCCAGAAATCCCAAATCCCATAAATCCCATAAATCCCAAACCCCAAATCCCATAAATCCCAAATCCCAAAAATCCCATAAATCCCATAAACCCCAAATCCCAAATCCCAAATCCCAAAATCCCGAATCCCCATTTGGCAGCTGTGCCAGCAGCACAAGGTGGGCATCCTGTACTGCAAGGATAAATCCCAAACCCCAAATCCCATGAATCCCATAAATCCCAAATCCCATAAATCCCATAAATCCCATAAATCCCAAACCCCAAATCCCATAAATCCCATAAATCCCATAAATCCCATAAATCCCAAACCCCAAATCCCAAAATCCCAAATCCCATAAATCCCATCTGGCAGCTGTGCCGGTGGCGCAAGGTGGGCATCCTGTACTGCAAGGATAAATCCCAAACCCCAAATCCCATAAATCCCAAACCCCAAATCCCATAAATCCCAAACCCCAAATCCCAAATCCCATAAATCCCAAACCCCAAATCCCAAATCCCAAATCCCATAAATCCCATCTGGCAGCTGTGCCGGCGGCGCAAGGTGGGCATCCTGTACTGCAAGGCCGGGCAGAGCTCGGAGGAGGAGATGTACAACAACGAGGCCGCCGGGCCCGCGCTCGACGAGTTCCTGGCGCTGCTGGGCGAGAAGGTGACCCTGAGGTCCTTCACCAAGTACGCGGCGCAGCTCGACACCAAGAGTGAGTCTGGCCACCTCCCCGGGACTTCACCGGG